TACTGAGCATCTTTCTCTTTGACACCATGTCTGATATCCCACGTGATCTGTCAAATACTAATGCATGAAAATCCTAACCTCAAAAAAATCACCCGATATTTCTTTTGCATACTTTCTTAACTATGACGCACCTAATTTTGGCTAAAATTCAACTTTTGTATAACTTTTTTATGACTCTTTTACGTCAATTTTGGAGTTTTTTACGACGACTGATCATTGTACGCACCTTCTAGCGATTGTTTTTTTTTTTCTTAGATTTAGCCACGAAGGCCGATAATTAACCGACTAAGACTACATTTAGTTTCGACAAGACGGAGCCACTTCCCACACATCGCATCAATTAATGAATCTATTGAGAGAAGACATCGGTGAGCAGAAGTCCCGTTTTAAGTGTAGCAAAACATTACATATGCCATTCGCCAGTTAACAGGCAAAATGCTCGAACGAGTGATCGAAAATTGCACTCAACGGATGGACCATCTGAGACGTAGCCGCGGCCAGCATTTGAAAGAGATAATCTTCCAAAAATAAATCCCAAAGAATGTTCTTTCGAATGATAATAAACATTTCCCATTAAATTTGAAGTGTCTGTGTTTTTTCTTTAAAAACTAGGGAAGCTCAAAATGAATCACCCTTCAAAATTTTCAAACCGAATTTCCTTCAATTTTTCAAAAGCTCTATAAAAGATATAAGGTCGATAAAAAATGAACTTGATATTCTCACATCAGATCATGATTTAATGTTTTAAAACATCAAATTATTTTTTATTGCATTAGTTTCTACTCATCTCTCACATAAATTTTTTTGAGATGACAAAAACTATGTTAACATTAAAAAAGTACCGATTTCATTTTCGCACAACGCAAAGTAATATGATTCATTTTATGTGTTAATATGTTTGTTGTATTATAATTATACCCTGAACAGGGTATATTAAGTTTGTCACTAAGTTTGTAAGTTGTAACACCCTATAAAGTATGTATATACATACTATATAAATGATCAGTATGTTCAGCTGAGTCGATTTAGCAATATCCGTCTGTCTGTTTGTATATATACGAACTGGTCCCTCAGTTTTAAGATCTTGTTTTGAAATTTTGCAAACGTCATTTTCTCTTCAAGAAGCTGCTCATTTGTTGGGACTGCCGTCGGACCATTCTAACATATAGCTGCCATACAACCTGAATGAGCGGAATCAAGTTCTTGTATGGTAAACTTTCACATTTGACAATGTATTTTCACAAAAGTTAGCACAGTTTTTTTCTAAGATAATAATGTAATATACGAAGAAATTGTTCAGATCGGTTAACTATAGCATATAGCTGCTATATAAACTGAACGATCGGAATCTAGTTTTCAATTTGACAAGATATATTCACGCACGAAATTTGGTATAGATTATTTTTTAAGGCAACAATATAATCTCCGAAAAAATTGTTCAGATGGGCTTACTATAGCATATAGTTGCCATACAAACCGAACGATCGGAATCAAGAGCTTGTATGGAAAACTTTTGCATTTAACGTGGTAGCTTCATGAAATTTGGCATGAGGTATTGTGCATAGAAATAATATAAAATCGGAACAAAATAATTCAGATCGGCTCATTGTAGCATATAGTTGCCATACAAACCAAAACTTTCGCATTTGACGGTATTTTCACGAATTTCGACATGGATTACTGCTTAAGGTAATAATCGCAGCGTAGTACTAGTAGTAGTATTATAATTTCCGTACAGATCGGATTACTATAGCATATAGCTTCCATACAAACTGTACACATAGTTACTAAAAGAAATGTCCCTGTGAGGGGTTGTTATTGTGCATTCTAGTCAAAGGAAGGTATACAAAAAATATGTTAAATACGAAAAATAGTTGAAAAGTATTGGGAATTATTTATTTTATTATAAAATCATTCATCAATTTGCATATATATGTACATACAATGTGGCTTGCTTATGTATTTGTGTCTGTGTACAAGTTTACAATATCACACACATACTTTTAAATTGCTTAAATAATTATTTAATGTTCAATATATGTAACATTATTAGTTATAACAAGTAAGGAGAGGCTAAGTTCGGCTATACCAGTACATTTCATGCTCTTGCACCTTCAGGAACATAAGGCTTGTTAGTTATATGTGGTCTAGAGCAAGTTTTCACCCAATTTTAATAATTTTAAGCACAAATATAAAGCAATATAAGAAAAAAACACTCTGTCACATAATGGGCGATATATTTAAAAATTCATCGCAGTTTCAGTAGTTTTTACCAGTACCGTTACATGGGAAGAGAACGGGGTTATCCGATTTCATCCATATAATTCTAATAGTATATGTGATAGGTGAATTTGGTTATTGTAGCTTTACTGGTTTAGGAAATATACGAGTATACGTTAAACTTCACCACAATGCGACTTAGGCACAGGAAGAAGTGACTGTCATTTGCGATAAAAAAGTGGAATTTGTATTAAATACATAACTAAATCATATGCAATATATACGAGTATTTAGCATATTGAGTAATTCATACGAAATAATGATGTATTTTCGAACTATCAGTTGCCAACGCACGATTGGCACCCTCTTCCACCCGCAGTCATGAATCAAAAATAATTAATAAAATGCTGCACTTCGCCTAATTAAGCTGCCAATTTCAATAGTTATGACAAAATATATTTTATATTATATATGTATAGTTATTTATATAAAATTGCACATATAACGTGTACATATGTATGTATGTATGCGTTTCTGATATCATTTTCTATTTGCTAGAGCTAGAGCAAGAGGGCTGTCAACGAAACTCAAATTGTCCAAAATTGTTGTGTTAAACAGACAACGGTTAGGTATTTCATATGCCTTGCAACTTCACATTGGTTGTATGTGTGGTTTTTGTGTTATAATTTTGGTAGTCAGTTACAGCGCGTGCAATAAATATTATACAATTGATATACTATAAATGCGTACCCCAATATATAAATTATTTAGCAGTAGCACAACGAGCTGATAAGCGGTGATTAACAATTAGGCGATCAAAAGGACCGCGAAGCGGACAACCCGCGCTACGATCAACGAAGCGACGTGCGCTCCTCACCGCGCCTTTCTTACATACACACATATTTACACATAAACAAAATAAGCACACATACATAGAAAAACGCATATTTAATTCAATTTTATGGTTCATCATTTTAGGAATGCTAAACACTGTCAGCCTAAATCGTCGATATCGGCTGGCGGTTGTCAGTAGTTATTAATCTAGTAAACCTCTACAGTGGTTATCATGTTAATAGAAGCATACATAAATATTCAACTAATTTCAATTAAATTTTAATTTCTCGTATATAATAGTTCACTATGGCTTTAAGGAAGATGGAGTCATGTGTAGAAGTTCACGCAAGTGACAAAAGTTCTCTGATTGCCATTCACTTGGAAATGGCCAGAAACGATTCTTTTACATATGATTCAAGAAGCTTACGACTTCCGGTCCGAGATCAGGTTTCCTCTCGGTAACCAAAGAAGATCCGTTTGAAGGCGAGCTAAAGTGAAAAGACGAAACATTCCCGCAAGGTTATGCGATGGGTGTTTTTAAAGACGATCATGATAAACGCATTAAGGATAACGATTTAAGGGCATACACCTGGAATATTCGGTCCCTTAATTGGGAAGGTGCCACTGCCCAGCTGGTTGATGTCCTCGCTACAGTGATGGTTGACACCACCGCCGTCCAGGAAATGCGATGGCCTACTACCGTAGGATAAGTTTCCTCAATATCGCATATAAGGTTCTATCGAGCGTATTGTGTGAAGCAAACCGCCAACAAACTGATTGGACCTTATAAGTGTGGTTTGGGCCTAGAAAATCTAAACCTGACCAGATATTCAACGTGAGCCAAATCTTGGAAAGGACCAGGATCGTCATACATCACCTCTTCATCGACTTTTAAGCTGCTTTTGGCAGCACGCTGCCTTTATTCTGCGATGTTTTTGAAAAAGTGAGTGTTACCCCGGCCTCTAATAGGTTTAAAGTACATATCTCCTAAGCCACTAAAGCTGCAACAACCAAATTCGCCCATAGCAAATATGATAAAAATTCCTGGCGACAGTGGATGAAATCGGATGATAATCTCGTCACTCCCAAATAAATTAAATTTTATCCGCGAGATGGTATAAGACCGATTTCGACTAAAGTCCGTAGCATTCTTATCACACTCCTATGTCACAATGCGAAATTTCGCAAAATCGGTCTACAACCACGCCTACTTTCCATCAGTTTTTCTCAAGTCTGTGCTAATGTTAAAACATACAATCCATTAACGAAATTTTCTTGCAAAAATTAGCCATTGATTCGAAGTATAAGCTCTTAAAGGTCTATATTTTTAATATAACTTCAAAAATCGAACACTACTTTTATAAGAATTGTGTATAAAACTTGCATTGACCCATATTTTTGCAGTTATTATCAAATCACCAAGGAAGTTAACAAGCTCTTGAAAAAATAGAAATCGTTCAATTACGATAACAACCGAACTTCACCTTCATCACTTGTATTATTTTTAAATTTGTTCCTAAAAATATGATAATGAAACACTGTATACGGTTATGTATATACAAAAATATAAGCATATGAGAGCATACCTCTTACTGCTGGAGTGTCACCACAGCGCGCCTTATCAGCAACACCTATTGGACACTATCATCAATGGTGCGTTACCTTGATATCTTCAACCATTATGACAACTAGTGTTATTAATAAAGATATCTATTACCCGCACATTATCATTATTGTATTTTGTATGGAAATCTGATTTAGCACAATTTATTAGTTCTCGACGACTCGTTGTGTGCAGTTCGGTAATTTCGTTTTTTGGGCATTCGGCGCGACACTTCGCCGAAAGTAATAGAAAGTGATCAACAAGCGATCTGCAGAGTGATTCAACTCTTGATGCATGAGTTCAAGCAAAAATGTATAAACAGATAAATATCAACTCTTGAGTGTGTTTAAATGATTTTCAGAAGAAATTGAATTTATAAATAACAAAAAAAAAAAAAAATTGTATTTTAGCAAAAGTTTTGATTAAACTAAGAAGTGATTTCATAATTCGCAAAATGGAAACAGTAAGCACAAAAGCGCTCAGCAATAAATCATCCTTTTCCATCGCGAATATATTAGAGAGTAAAACGCTGCCTGCGCCACACACACCGCCCGCCGCGCACCATAACGCGCATAACAGCGAACACATGCCGACGGTTGCGAATATGATCAGTGCAACATCCTCATCGATAAAGAACACCACCACTAACAGCCTCGTTCATACACTGCAGTCGCGTATCGGTGAGCCGATTCCGCCAACAAGCGCCAATCCCATGGCAACAACAACAGGTTATTCGACGCTACCGCCGGATGCACAATCCGCTTTCAAGAATCTACTACTCAAGAGTGATCATGTCGCTGACGGCACACCATTGTTGCCATCGTCGGGCGCTTTGCGCTTTGAACCCGTCTACGATCATGCTTCGCTGATCTATCAACAAATGCTGAACATGCAAAAAAACTCGGCTTTATTTATGCCGCACTTTCAAGCGGCGGCAGTGGCGGCTGCGGTAACACCGTCGGGTTATTGCGATCAATACAATCCCTTTTTGGAATGCGAAGGTGAGTGATAACCGAAAATTGCTGCTGTTAACTGTAGCAAAATAAACTCAAAACAATATGCATTTTATAATAAAACCGAAGCTCCTTGGCTATAAAAAAATTGTAGAAATAGTTTTAAGAGTACATTCTTAGAAAATATATAGGCCAAGTCCAGATGCGTCGGTCAATCATATTTCTCAATTTTATTCTATACGACTGTATAATAAATTCGCTCCAGTAAAGCACATACCAATTCTGACAAGTAGGTTTGCACTCGGAAAATACTTATATGCTTGAAAATGCGGTCAGAAAATAGAATAGAAAGGTGGTTGGAGTATTTTATTTGAAATTATGAACTTCTTCTCGGTATAATGGTGGCATATTTCTGCGTTTCAATTATGCCCAGCTCCCAAATTTCTTACAGAAATAATATGATATTGAAATTTTTTTGTAATTGACTTATAAAAGATAGTTTTCAGTGTGATATAGTTTCTTATAACAATAAAATATAAAATTTTGTACCAAATTTCTCAAAACTGCAACACACAAAGGCTTGAAAGTTCGCTCAACTTAAAGCAACTCAAAAGCAAGCAGTTTCATGAAAAACTTCATATTACTCATAATTCTAAAATACTGAAGAGCATTCTGTACTTAAATACTTTACCTGAAATTATCCTTTGAAGGACCATCAGGAATTCAAATTGAACGGGGCAGTGCAACTTATCTATAACCAAATACCCGGAAATTGTAAATAAAACGCAAAATAGTTAATTATTCATTAATATCTATTTTGCCGCCTTCAAAGTAATCCCCACCAGATGTTATACACTTATGCCAACGTTTTTTCCAGTCCGCAAAACACTTTTCATAAGCACTTTTTGGGATGACCTTCAGCTTCTTCAGAGAATTATCTCTACGATCGACTGTAAACAAATTCCACGGAGCAGCAATTTCCGTTTAGAGAATAAGAATAAATCACTCGGATCCAATCTGATTTATCATTGCGTAAAATCCATGCATTGTTCGTCCACAATTCCGGCCGTTTTCGACAGATGTTCTCATGCAAACCCCTCAATACGGTCAAATAGAACTCTCCATAGACCGCCTGTACTTCTGGAATAAATTCATGATGCACCAAACCACGAATATCGAAAAAAATGCAATGAGAATCACCTTTATTTTTGCGCGGCTTTGGCGTGGTTTTAGTTTCAACTCTTTGTACCAATCGTACTCTTGTGTTTTTGATAAAACTGAATCCCCATAAGCCTTTTTCAACATTGACAACTATTCTGCACACGAAATTTCATGAGAAATACAAAATTTTAAAGAAATTCTTTGCTCGATATTTTTATTAATTGTAAAAATCGCAACACACTACTCAAGTGTATCGTAAACTAACTGGTTGACAGATCGCGCAAATTCAGATAGACTGCTTAGGGCACTATGAATCTATTTTCATTCTCCAATGAAGTCGACTAATCGAATACCAGTGAAATTCTTTAGCCATTATGTATCTATACAAAACTTTCCTCATACTGCTACCCTTGAAACATCATTTGTCTAGCATTAATTCTAATATTTCACTTCCTCAGCCAGCACATTAAGTATTTTAAGCAAATATTCAGTATCAATAATGCGATCAATAACAATAGCTTATAACATTTTTTAATTATATGATATAAGGTGGTCTTTGGTAGATGGTAGCAGCAAAGAGATATGCAACTGAAAATGTACTTTTAATTCAATTCGAACAAAATAAGAAATAAGTAAAAATAATAACTTCAGCAGCACCTTCACATTTGCATTTTTTATAGAAAAAATGTCTTTATCTTGATTTTTTTAGTGAGTTTGTATCACAGCCATATGCTGAACAACAAATTCGTAGATTATACCGTTGTCTTGGAAAACAATTCAATCCAAATTTCGTGAACATATCTCGGCAATTTAGAAAGTTTGCCGTACGAGGACTTGATTTTTATTAATCCATTTGTAAGGCAGCTACATATATGCTATAGTGGTCCGATATCAGTCCGCCAAATGAGCAGCTTCTTGAAGAGAAAAAGATAAAATTAAAAAGCAATTACCAAAAACTGATGTACTAATTCGCGAATATACAAACGGATGCACGGACATACGGATATGACTAATTTTACTAAATGACGCTGAGCCATTCCCTTCTCGATTTTACAAACTTCGTTACAAACTTAGCCATTTTCGTGATATAATAATTAGGGTTTTTAGTTTTTTATAGTAAGAAAAATATTGTCTTGAGAATTTAATTTTTAAAATAATTTTTGAACATTTGTTTTTATTTTTTGATTTTATTATTTAAGGAAAAAAGAAATACATATAATTTTATATTAAAAAAATTTATGGAATTTTATACATTGTGCCTAATTTTAATAACAAATACATATCACATTTTAGCACATAAAATATTTTTTTTTAATATATATTATACATGCAATCTATTTGAAGATAATCAGGAAATTTTAAAAATATAACCAATTTAACAAAAAATTCTTATTTCTATTTTCAAAAATATTTGCCAAAAACGCCAAATTTTCACCTTTAAAAATATTTCCATTTAACTTGTGGCAGACTTGTGTAGACATGATATCAGCTAAAAATAATACCAAACTTCCGAAGGAACGTTTTATTGCAGGTTATAAATTTTATTGCTAATAGCTTGAAATATAACAAATTACTGAACGATATTGTATAATAATACGCTTATCAGTCAAATCGAAACTTAAAAAAACTTTAATAACAAAACTGAAATTAAACAAAACAACAAAAAAGGCAACAGCGACAGCGACTAGGTAATTGTTTATGTGAAAGCCAAATTAAAAAGATCACAATTTAAAATGTACAGATATAAGATTATATATGTATATGCCTGTACAAACATATATAGATATACATAAATGCCTAATTGTATGTGCTGCTATTACTTATTAAACGATGTTTTGTTCGAGTGCACAGATAAGTGGCGGAAAAAAATAAGCGTTTTCTTTTAGCAGCGCATGTGAGATATCGCGGAGGCAAGCGGGGAACATACTCCAGTTATACAATATTAATATATATTTGCGTTTTTGATTTGTCGAAAGATACTCTGTCAGCAATAAAGAAAATTTGAACATATTAACAACAAAATGTTTCTTTTGTGAGTGTGGGTGCGCTTGTCCATGCGCCGCTTATCGGCTATTGCTAGCCCGTTGATGGACAGCACCTTATTAATCGTCATTAATAGCGCTTTTTATTTAAGGGGTCAGTAGGGTAATCTGCCCTGTTTTTTTTAACATTTTTTTTCAAAGAAATTTTTATTCTACAATAAAACTTTTTTCACATATCATGAGGTATATAGTGGAGTGTATAAACATTTTTTTTTTTGGAATTTTTTGATGACATCTGCCGGAGAAATGGCTGGGTTGCGTTATTTCTTTGGGGGACACAATTTCTCATGTTTGGATCATCTGAGACACAAAAGCCCAATTAATTCTTAAAAAGTACGTGAATGGTTATGGTCCCTACTAGAATCATTTTTTTTTTTTAATTTTTCCCAATGTTTTTTTTACATAAATTTTGCCATAATATTGCCAATAAATTATAAAAAATGTTTTTGTAAACATTAAAGAAAAAATTAAGCAAATCGGTTGAGTAGTTCGACCGGAATCATATCCGCCAGTTTAAAAAAGTGCGTGTTTGAGAAAATCGCGTTTAAAGTTTGAGGTGTGCACTCCCAGCACTCCGAACATCGAGCGGTATTATTTTTTTGGTCCTTTTTCGTAAGCTTCTAATAGTAAAGTGGGTTCTACATCAATTCTAAGGGTATAAAGGAGCACAAAATGCAAAAAAATAAAAAATAAAAAAAGATTACCCTACTGACCCTTAAGAAATAAATCAGTCATTTCTTAGAACTTATTTTACTTTCAACTTTCGTGATAATTTCTCTTCGTGAGTGCAAAGATGATGTTTCAAGTATTTGTACCACAATTTTACTCTGTGCAGCTTATATTCAGTTTCTTCACGAAGTTTGTAAGACTTAGAATTAGAATCATTGTAGACCCTATAAAATATATAATATATATAAATGATAGCTGATCACTGATGACTTGATTTATCCGTATATGTCTGTCTCTTAGTTAAGATACTCTTTCCTTTGCTTTCTCGTCTCTTCCTCACTAAGAAGTTGGCCATTTCTTGGAACCTCACAGGATTTAGCTGCTGTATAAACTGGCAATCGAAAGCAAGTTCTTGTATGGAAAACTTTTGTATTTGACGAGATATTTTCAAGAAATTTGGCAAATCGCACCACTAAAGCATATAGCTGCTGTAGAAGCAGGCCGATATAAATATAAGAAACGCAACAGTGAAAGGTATCCTATTTTTTTATGAAATTTTAGCAACATGATACATGATAAAGCAATAACTGATGTACCCACCACGACTGTCGGTCCTTGGGTGGGGAATCACAGAAATGATGGGTGCGATCACATTCAAACACATGTGTATACATATTATTCCATAAATATTTAACTTCTTCGCTGCATTACATAAGTATTACCCCTTAAATTCTACCACTTCAAAAGTGTTTAATCAAAGTTTGTTTTATTTAACTGGGCCGAGTTTTCTCAATAAAGCTGTGTTTGTTTTCTTTTCTTCTTTCAATGTTTTACCCCCATTTAAAATTTTGAATCAATAAAATTTTTGAAGACGTAATATTTATAGCCATATGGTATTTATTAGAAGTCTCAAATATATAAACATATTTTACAAGGCCTTAATTAAAATTTAATTTAAAAAATAATTTATTTTAGTTAAGGCTGATTAAATATTTTTTTACCATCATTGAATTTCTTTGAAATATTTATGTTATTTATATTTTTTCGGTGTATGTTTATATATCTACATATGTTGATGGCAACCATTCTACATAAAATGTACTACATCTTACGGTTTTCAAATGAACACTACTTATGATATATATATGTATGTATATATACAACAAATTATATAACTTAAGGGGTTATATATAGTTAGAAAGGCGAAAAAAGTGAATTTTCCAGACTTTTTCATGAGAAAAATTTTAAATTTATTGATCCAAAAATTTGTACACATATTATATTTCTCAAAAACAAAATCGCTTTTTGACCAAAATTTCATCCCGAAGTTGTTTATAAAAAAATATTTGTCGGTGAGAACAAATTTTCTGTTAATTACTTAAAAATATATTTAAGAAGCTCGTGTTAAAATTTGAGAGTAATTGGCTTAGCCATTTTCGAGTTAATTTGGTCACCGACTTTGAAAACACCATTTTGAGAAAAACGCGTTTAAAGTTTGGAATGCACTTCCAAGAACTCTCAAACGCTTTTTCAAATTTGCTTCGATATAAAATTTTTATGTATATTTTTAAATATATGTATGCAAACTAAGAAAATAAGTTTAAAAAAATCCATCTTTTGAAAATTCTAACTGTATATAATCCCTTAAAAAAATTGAAATATCAATATTAAATATCGAGTTCGAGTATTTGATAATCATACCATCCCTAGCACCCCCTCCAATACAGTGTCTTAGATAAGAGTGCTGTTGTGGTTGCTGTTGTCGGCCCTTTTATGCGTCTTATGTGATTTGAGTGCCCCCCAAAAAGTGCAGTAATGCGCCATCGAATGTCATTTGGCGCCAACACTTGACTTGGACCAAGCAGATAAGCAAATGAACGTGCCAACAGACAAACAAACATGCGGACAGACAGACCAAAAGTAAATTAATAAATAACCCTTTGAAGTTATAAACAAATACACACAAACCTACATACATTCACACATAGGAATTTATACCAACAACACATGCATAGTATACATGCATATATAAATATGTGTATATCTTTAAAATGGATGATACCAATTGTAAAACAGTTGGCGCTTAACTGCAGCCGAATTTCGATGACATTGGAGCCGTTGCTGACAGCAGTGCAAACAAACAGTGCTCATTAATCAATTATAATCGATGTAAGTTGACAATGTCTGCGACTACCGTTGTAGGCAAAGAGTTTACGAATATGTGTAAGCGAATGTGCATAGCTATGCAATTAAAAGGCTACCAAATTGTATATTTTCAAATGAAGGGGTGTATGTTAGTGCAGTAAACTAAATTTTTATTTCTTGTAAATCAATGCAGTTGAGTAATTCATTACTATTCTCACTGTTCCATTTTCCATTGGATATGCCTTGGAGTCATTTATTTCTTATCTCAAAGGACTCCCATAGAATAAGACATTTAAAAATATACAATTATTGAGTTGTAATTTTCCTGTTATGGATCTTATTACATATGTTTGTATAATATAAACATAAGTTTTTACTTGTTTTGTAAGTTTATATTACTATACCCCATCTAGTTATGCTTCTGGGTGAGAAATGCGACCGACAAAGTAGGTCCTTGTGACATTTTCTACAGCGGCCAAATAAAGGAGTGCAAATTTGATGTGAGAGAAAGACTCAGTTGTCGAGTCCTGGCATTCTCTCCGACGATTGAGCGTTTAAACTCAATCCGCATCAGAGCAAAGTATATCAACGTAATACTAATTTGCGCTCACGCCCCGATGGAAAAGAAGCGCGATATGACCAAATATTCCTTTTATGAGCGACTGATGCGCGCTTATGGCAAGTACCACGCTTGTGCTTCGCGATTTTAATGCCATGATGGGCAAAAAAGGCATCTTTGGTACAAGAGTCGGAAAATTCAGCCTTAATGTCGAAAGCTCTCCAAATGGGTTGAGGCTGATCAACTTTGCAGATGCTTGGCTGTCTCTGGATCGAAAAGCTCGTAACAAGATCGATCGTGTTGTTATAGATGGACGACACACGTCTCCAGTGTCCTTGACATTTGTACGCTGCGAGGTTCTAACATCGAGTCGAACCCCTATGTTGTTGGAGCAAAGATGCGCACCCACCTTATAACAAAACACACCCATCAATAAACACCGGGAGGGTACGATATCGAGAAGAAAACTCTTGAAAGCTCTCTGAAAGCACTTAGCAGTAAATCGGTATAAGGGAACTGTGGAACGGCAATCGAAGCTCCTTACGTATAGTTGCAAGCGAAACCATAGGTTTTCGTAAAGGTCGAAAAACCAGCTGGTACGATGAGAACTGTTTTGCCGTAGTGGAGAAAAAGCAGACAACCTACATCGCAATGTTGCGGTCGACCATAACACGAGCGATAGATAACGGGAATAGGAAAGCGAAACGCATATGCAGACAAAAAAAGAGAGAAGCCGAAATGCATGAATGTTAAGAGTTTGAAAAGCTGCCCGGTGACTAACGGTAGGTTTCAAGACCTGAGTATACTCTTTTAGAACCCAAACCCCCTAGTGCTGATGTTCAGATCATACTGTAGTTATAGAGGGAACACTTCTATGCCTGCTGAACGGCACTGAAGTGTAACATCTGGAGATAGCAAACCCGATTCTCTAATCGTAACGATGGAAGGATGTTCAATTGCCCGAATATGATGAGGTTCGAATAGTACCTTCGATAGCAGGAAATGGAACTGACTCTATGCCGATATGTATGAACTTGGTATTAACGCAAAGCTAATACGGCTGTGTAAGCAGACGTTGGGCAACACTAAAAACTCCATCAGGATCGGGATAGGATGCTCCGTGCCGTTCGATACCAAAGCGAGTTTTCAGACAAGAGCATTCCCTATGGTGGGACTTCTTCAACGTATTGCTGGTCAGAATATTTGGAATGTAAAATTATTTTATTTTATTTTTTGTTCTACTGTAATCTAATTTAGTGTACAAAATTTCGCTTTACTGCAAATAACTTATACCTGAATTGTGACAGTTTAATATCTGCAATATAACAAATAAAACCAAACAATATAAAATTGTATACAAAAATTCCACTTAATGCGTCTAATATTCCAGTCCACATTTCCCTTTATCAATCATGTGCTTTCCATATTTTTTGGAAATACAGATAACGTTCAGTGGACAAATATTTTAAGAGCTTAGTTGGACATTTTGTTCTTACTGTCATATAAAAGCTGATGACTCTTCGAAATGGGCAATCACGCGCTAATGAGCTTTCAACCAATATTCATTGCATGTTTCATGTAATATAATATAATTAAATACAAAAAACTGACATTGAACGTTGAATTTGTTTAGTGCATCTTTTTCCTACACTTAGAGGAGGCTTTTAAACATTTGTATATACATTTATTATATAGTACATATAATTATCACAGTTCTCTATAACGTTTATTGATATTTGTTATCTATAATCTGTTGTTTGCGCCATTTATTGCGCGATACCGTTAAACCAAAAAACCAACTGTAAATGATAGCAATTATGGCAGTAATTGGCTTTTTATTGCTGTACTCACACATAATAATTTTTGTGCTTGTGCAATGGCGCTGACTGCGGGAGTCCAATACTAGAGCGAGCGAGAGAGAAAACAACAATGCTATGGCACGATAAGGGTGAATTAATATGAGGTTGCTTGTGTGTGCTTGCCATTGGTATTGCCTATACATTACGGTACTTCTCCCTCAAGCAGGTTTTTGTTGCTTTGCGTACAGAACAGTATTTACGGCCGTCGAGCACCAATCAAATGTTATTATGTAAAAAGGAAAAATGTCGAATGCAGGGTGATACGAAATAAATATTATTATTTCTCATTTATTGTCACATTTTATATTTGCTATACTCTATTTAGAAAATAAATAATTTTGTTAATTAGTTTCAGTTTATATTTATTTATGAATTGATAAAAAAAAATTCTCTCCAATATTTTTTTATAGGGTTCCCTGGCAATGCTGCCGCTGCTGCTCTCTACTGTAATGCTGCCTATCCGGGCTTTTATATGCCCAATTTTGGTGTTAAACGTAAGGGCGGGCAAATTCGGTTCACATCGCAACAAACGAAAAATCTTGAGAATCGCTTCGCCAGCTCAAAGTACCTGTCACCCGAAGAACGGCGGCACCTTGCGCTCCAACTCAAGCTCTCCGATCGCCAGGTGAAGACTTGGTTTCAAAATCGACGTGCCAAATGGCGTCGCTCCAATCAAACTAAACGAACATCACCCTCACACATTTTGAGTCAAGCGCTGGACAGTAGTAGTGGCAGGACTGTTGGTAACAGCAGCAGCTCGAGGAGTGCTATGCCGCATTCTAGTAGCACTGGCAGTGATTATGCTCAAATCGATAGCAGTCGTGATTTGCTTTCAGAGGAGGAAGACGATGATGATATCGATGAAGTTGAAGACAGCGATGAAGAAAAGGAAAAGATAAGGAGGAGTGAATAGCAATAAAATCCACCTTTGAGGTGGATAAATTAGGGGGATTGCGTTTAGTTTTTTATTTACAAATTTAAGTGTTATAAAGTTCTATATTTATTTTATGATTGAGGTAATGTAATTTAATTGATATAAATTATTTGTTTGATTTATAAAAAATGTGTGGTGAATAAAAAAATAAATAAATAAAGTTGTGTAAGAATATAATTTTGATTTTTTTATAATCACATGTTTATACTCACATTCTATGCAGTTATATTAAAGAAGCATGAAGCTACGCACAACCGAAAAAAGAGGTGTGCAAAATTTTACTTAAAACATTAGTGCTCGTTTTAAGAATATTGAGATTTCTAATAAACTAGCAAATACGACGATATTGACATAGTTCACTCCGTTGGAAGGACTTGCCTTCGCTTATAATATCCAATTGGCGCCACGTGGCGCGCTGTTGTTAACTCGGCTATAATCGCGTAAGCGGTTCCCTAAGCCAGTAAAGAAGAAGAAGAATATACTAGCAAAAAAGTTAATTCTAAAACAATTTATTTACGGAGGATCTGAGGTGTGGAAAAGAAAAGTGCGTGGTAGAATTTTTAAGGGTTAAGAATGCTTTATTTCCATTTCTGACAAAACTACGAGCCCTATAGAAAAGTATTGTATTGCAATATTGCAGGTAATAAAAAGATCTATAACTTTTGTTTGTATACGTTTTCAGATAACCTCAAAATTTGTAAGAAAAATTCAAATAACTAAGTTTTTGGTTTATATCTTGTGAAACAAATTTTTTTCGTGCACGAAGTTTAGTGAAAACTTACATACCTTCTTATGGCCCACACTGTATTTTTTATTTCAAATATTTTTTTCCTGAAATTTACGTAATATAAAAAATCGTACTTTTAAATCAAAAAAATTATAAGTCAAATTATAAAATAAAAAGAAGGATTATATTATTATATTTGCTAATGTCTGTACTTTCTGCTGATATATAAAAAAATATATACATTACTGTGTTAAATTTTCTCAGAATTTATACGATATACCCCATGTTCACCGGAGACAGTGTAACTTCCCAACAATGAAAGCATTTTTCAAATTCGCCTTGTAGTTACAGAGCCTATTCAATTCAAGCAAACAAATTATTTCTCCTGTAACTTACCCGTAAGCGCTTTAGTCTTCTTTCCTCTCAAAATCTTCTCCGAGTTTATAAGCAATTATTGAGCACATTTTATTCTTCTTTAAATGACATCATTTGCTTTGATTTTTATTTGCTATTTAGATGTATATGTATGTACATATATAATATACATAAGTATATATATATTTTATATATTATATGCTGTATTTAGTTTAGCAGAGAAATGCATAAATCTTTTCGAACTTGTCAATTCTTTAATTGTTTATGTTTATACATTTGTAATTCTGTAGCTACTTTTAATTACACAAGTTATTGTTGTTGTGGGCCATTTTTATCGCTTTGATTAATCAGGAGTAATACATAGTTTTTGGAATTTGTAGTGGTAGTGAAAATATGTTACTGTAGTATATACATATATGTATATCTGTTTTTTAATTTCAACAATTATTTTTTTGAGTTTGAATTGTGATTAGATTTTTGGGTTTTAACCGTTTCTCTTATTTCACGCAATTAAATTACATTTTGCTTTTTGTTGAAAAAGAAATTATCTTAAATAATTTAGCATGCAACTTTGTAATGGCTCTAGAGATGGTATAACATCATAGAATGTATGGTATATTGTATTTAGTGTTTATTTATTAGTTTATTATTTAATTATTTACTACTTAATGCAAATATCGGTTAAGTAATTAAATTTATTTTCTTCACAACTTAGTTGATTTCATCTGTTCTTAAGGCGCATAAATAAAATCAATAATAATTACATTAAAATTCGTTTCCTATCGTATATGGACTATTACTCTCAGAAGCCACCTACATTAAGAGCGGGTAGGTACAGGGACCCAAAAAACACAAAAGTCGCGTATACGGGGAATATTCTACAGATTATTTTAAACAATTTTGCTATGGTTTTAAAATTCGTTTCGGGCCAGCGATTTTTAAGGCGAAGTTTTTTAGGATTTATGTATAAAAATAAAAATTTTAGTGTTTGGGATATCCGAATGAAATTTAATACGTAATCGCATTTTGATATTCTATTGATTAATTGTCGGAAACGGTCAGATCGGACAAGTATATCTCCCATACAACCGATGATTTAGATTTTTGAAATTTAGCCTTAAAAATTGCTGGTTCAAAACCGGTTTAAGATGCATAGTCCCTTAGACAAAGTTGTTCTGAATGATCATATATCATTTCCCGTATACGCGATTTTATAGCACAAAAAAAAACGACTCGCTCTACTGTACATATACATACAATAAACATAAAATGTATACGCAAGAAACCCCAAAGCAATATTTATTTATTTTTAATTGTATGAATAACTTTTTTCTTAGTAAAAGGAGCGAAAATGACATAATATAAGGATGCAACTACATTCGTTCTGTTATCAATAATGCATTCGACATGATGTCGATGTCATTCGAAAAGTAGGACGTTAAGGTTGGATGTTAGCTCTGGTACTAAGCAAATATTATTAATGAAACATTATTTGTTAACAATTCTTCTAAGCCAGGACCGGAAATAACATTTATAGAAAATTAATCGTCCATCTCTTCCTAGATTTTGTATAATTTTAGAAATACTCAGATCTGATGCTACGAATATTTTTTCCCGGATGAGGAATAAAAATGGAGAGGTATAAAAAAATAAGAAAGCCTGTAAGGCGTCTTGGGGCAATCTGAATTATTATCAGAGTTTAAAATGTCGTCCCATCAATCAAAAAATTTTCATAAACAAATATTTCTTTCGAGAATCCTTCAAGGATGTTGATAGAGCGGCAGAGAGAGCTTTACTAAAACGCAAAACTGTTGTGGAAATATCATTAAATATCCTACATATTAATTTCAATTTATTAAATTTTCCAAAATGCATAATTTAAATTTTTGATCGGACATTGCTTAACAAGATATTTTTTTCAAAGAATTGCTACTTTTATTTTAAAAGTTTGTTATATTTCTACTGATTCACGGGCAGTAAGACATAAATCAATAATATTTTTTATAAAAATGGTTTAAGCTTTGAATGGCAGTTTTAAAGGTAGAACAGAATTTTTTACGAATAATGAAGTTTCAATATGTATGTACATTAGGGTGTTTCATTTAATTTTTTTTTCTTCGCGAATACATGAAAATTTTTGTTTTTTATGTAGAAAAAAAAATGCTTTCAACATTTTAGCTGATATTAGAAACACGTAAAAAATCAAAAAATAAGTATCTAAAGTCAAAATTAAAGGCTAGAACTTTCAGAATTTTTTTCAACATAAAAAACAAAACTTTCAAGTGTCCGCGGAGAAACAAAAAAAGTTTTAATGAAACACCCTAATGTACATAAGTCCTAACTAAGCATTTCCATATAACGATAGACCAATTTTGTTATTGTTAACTGTCAATGTAGCCAACTATTACAATTTTATTGTGTTGCTGTAATTCAACGAGCTATTTTTGCGTGAGCGAAACTTTTCAGCCTCTGACTATAAATGTACATATTTATGTGTGTGTGTGTATGTGCGCATATTCCTGGATATATGTTACGAATCAATGCTCTTTATTCACCTAATACACCGAGTTTTAAGTATTTGTCAGTTAATTCTTGATTACTCTTTTAACAATTATTAATTGAACAATTTTTATTTTAATAATTTTTTATCTTTATTGTTTTCCGTAGCTTCATTTTAGTAGTAATATATATATATG